ACCCCTGTTGTGGAGCTTTTGGGGTTTTCAATGTACAGGATCATGTTGTCTGCAAATAGCAATAGTTTCACCTCCTCCTCTCCCATTTGGATCCCTTTGGTGTCCTTCCTCTGTCTTAAGTTGTTAGCTAGAACCTCCAGAGCGATATTGAGTAAAAGTGGGGACAAGGGGTATCCCTGTCTTGTACCCTTTTTTTCAGTGGGATTGTTTTTGTCTTTTCTCCATTAACTATGATGTTGGCCGTTGGCCTTTTGTAAGATAGCTTGTATCCGCTTGAGGAATTTACCTTCCATTCCTATCTTCATGAGTGTCTTAATTAAGAATGGGTGTTGGATGTTGTCAAATGCTTTTTCTGCATTTGGATATTATCATATAGTTTTTATCCTTTTTCTTCTCAATGTGGTGTATAATATTGATGGATTTTCAGATGTTGAAAATCCCTGCATCCCTGAGATTAATCCTGCCTGGTCGTGGTAGATGATATGTTTTATATACTTTTGTATTCTATTGGCCAATATTTTGTTAAGGAATTTTGCATCTATGTTCATTAGAGTTATCGGTCTATAATTCTCTATACCCGTGGGGTCTTTGTCCTGTTTGGGTATCAAAGTTATGCTGGCTTCGTAGAATAAGTTTGGGGGTTTGCCATCCTTTACTATGCTATATTGAATATGCTAACTGGTTCTTGGTTTACTGAGCCTTTGAGCATTATGTAGTGTCCCTCCTTGTCTCTTTTTATGGGTTGAACTTTGAGGTCCATTTTGTCGGAGATTAAGATTGCCACCACTGCTTTTTTTAAGTTTCCATTTGCGTGGTGTACTTTCCGCCAGCCTTTTTGTCTGTGTGCTTAAAGATATGTCTCTTGCAGGCAACAGTCTAATGAATTCTCCTCGAAGATGGATATTTTTTACTATTGTATGTATTGGCGTGTTCTTCTTAGGGTCTAGTCTAGCTGGTGTCCTTTCTTCTTCCTGTGTGAGTGCCTAGTTCTCACTCGTTAGGGTGGGAAAGTTTTCTTCCAGAAATTTCTTCATTATTTGGGCTGTCAACTTGTGTGATGTGTTGTGCTCCAGTAGACCAATTATTCGAATATTATCCCAGGAACAAAATTTAATAGGGTTTGGAAAGAAGGAGGAGTGGAATCCTGAAATAGGAGGGGGGGATAATTGATAAACATTGTGGTTATTACAATCAGAGACATGAAACAGAATGTATATAAATGATTAAATGGAAAACTGACTTGCTCATTAAACCTTCATATAATTCACAAGTTTAAAAGAAAGTATCAATAAAATAAATACATACAATATATCACAAAATGGGAGATAATTACATCAGATCACAAAATGGAAGGCAAGCATGCAATACTGGGGATCACAGCCTAGCCAAGTTGATGCTTAACCCTATAACTATAGCCTGAATTTTTAATTTCAGGGAAAATTTTTTTTTGTTTTTATTCTTTACTTTCATATATATATATATATAACAACCAAAATATATTTTAAAAATATAAAATTTGCAATGTTTTTTAAATGTAACCAGATTGTCACATTCGTACATGGATTGCTCTTCCAATATAAATGTGAACTTGAGAGCTTCACCATCGACATAGCAAGCAGTGTGCCCCAAAATTACCCAAGTTCCTGGCTACTCAGTGCAAGAGGTTTATTGGGATTTTGCTGGATTGCATAAAGATTTGATTGGTCAACAATATGAGTAATGATATCCTTCAAGAAAAAATATCTAAAATATTCAACAGGACATTTTACTACCCCAAAAGAATTTATTTGCCCTAACCATTCAGGCATAGGTCTAGCTGTACCGTCTCCAGAAATGTGCCGCCAAAGAGGAATTCTTGGATTTCTTTATGTAGATGACTTTGAACTTGTAGTTATTGGAATTGATTCTTCAACTTCAACAACTGAAGTTTCTAACTCATCTTCACCAGTATTATCATTACTAGCTATAAGGTCTCCTAATTCATCCAAGTCAGAATAATTGGGTGTATATTCACTTCTTATCATGGGAAAAATAAATATTGTTATCAAAATAGTTTGAATAGCAATATAATTAAAATTTTATAGTGTGAAATCAAAAATTTTAAATATAATACACATTTTATTTACCAATTTCATCCATATTACCATCTGGTTCCTTGTCTGAGTCTGTACCACTTCCATCTAGGTCATAAATTTGCCATGAGTATTACATCTTTGACATAAAAACTACAGTTTTATGAACATATACAAAAAATATCAACACTGAAACTTCACTAGATTGAAAATTATCATAAAATGCACTGAATGCCAACGACCACTTAACCTCAAACACACAATCGGTCAAAATATGTGCCACTATTCAAGCATTTTGCCGCTAAAATGCATGACTAGCGGTATGCATTTGTACTAGTAAAGTGCGACGATTTCCTTGACATTGTCGTCGGCTCCAAAAGCTTTATAATTTTGGTACCAGATACGTTTTAATGAAATGTTACGAAAATGTTGTGCTCGGCATTATCGGGTTAATCATGAGTTTCATACACCTTACTCACAGGTCCTACCCACTCATTGTGTGGGAGTCATAAAGACTATAGCAAAGAGCGCCATATTAAGTAATTCACTACAATGTGCTAACTTAATTTTTGTTTCACATACACCCTCAATCTCTCTGGCATGCCCATAATAATGAATGTTTATCATTATGGCACTGTTTAAAAATATGATTTGAGATAGTATGCCACTATGAAAAACAATGTGGAAGTTTTCTGTGCAAATATATAAAAATCTACATAAAATAGGAAAACAATCCAAAGTGCAGAAGATTCAGTAAAGTGCATGCTAGATTTCAGTCTGGCCTCTACTTGTGCTCTACCTCCTCCTCTCCACTGCTCTGACACCAGGAGGCTGGCCTGCCTCAGCCTGTCCCTGCCATGGGACTCCAGGTGGTTGCAACCCTGGAAGCACTGATAGGAGGGAGGTGAGTGGCTACATCCCACCACCTAGAGCAGCCCCCCACCCCCACCCAGCTCCACTGGCACTGCGTCAAAATGCTGTACTCTACCTGGTCTTCTACACCCTGCCTTCACCTCTATTCTAACAGCCAAATTGGAGGGTGCCTTCTTTCCTGTGGTGAAACTAACATAGTAGTCTGTCTTTTAGGTAAAAGGGGAAGAAAAATAAGAGTACCTATTCTGTATTCTTATGTATTCTGGGAAATACATAAGAAACTAATGAAAGTAATTACCTGGTTTTTTTGGAGGGGAAGCGGGAGAACAGCAGAGGTGGGGTTGTTCAGGGCCAGAGGTAGAGCTGCAGGAGGCAAATCAGAAGAGGGAAACTTTCACAGTATGCCTTTCTACCTTGTTCCTATTAAACATGTAAATATATGATTCTATTCCAAAAGCATGCACCCAATCTAAAGCATCTTTTAACATTGCACCTTTATTTCAGGACTGACCGTGAGGATTAACATTTGGATTATTTCAAGATGAGCTTCTTGTTGCCCAAGCTGACCAGCAAAAAAGAAGTAGACCAGGCAATAAAAGGGACTGCCGAGAAGGTGCTGGTTCTCAGGTTTGGGAGGGACGAGGATCCCGTCTGTCTGCAGCTAGATGATATTGTAAGTGAACTTCAAACACCCACACTTGCAGCCATCGAGTCAATTGCAAGTCCTGGCAACCCTGGATAGGATTTCCAAGACTGCGTGTCTTTATAGGAGTAGACAGTCTCATCTTTCTTCCTAAAAGTTTAACTAAATGGTTTTTATTAAAATTTCCTGTATTGTCACTGCAACCTCTGCAAAGTACAGGCAGGGCTTGGGGATATAACTTTGTTCATCAGCACACTTTCACTAGGAGCTAAGTCGAATCGCCAAGGCTGCACTTGTTCTGAACCTCTCCCTCAGATGTCCTTCCCGACTAGTTGCTGTCCAAGCTCAGTTTTCTCATCAAGGCAGTGCAAGGCTAGAAAACATCAGCGAGTGTCCACAAGCGTGATCACACCGTGAGCTAATAGTAGCCCTGTCTGCCAGATGGGGGAAGGTCACTTTCCACAGTCACAGAGCCACTGGATTGCAGAGCTGGGATTTGAACTAGCTGCAGATACTCTTTGCAGTGACTCCTCCAGTATGTTCCCAGTCTGTCTCTAATCTCTGATGACCCAGCACTCCTTGGGCTGTGATGAGCAGAAGGACACATGGAACAAACTAACTAGATTCTTCTCTCCACTCATTGTGGGGAGAATCTTAACCCAAGACTCAGTCCTCTTCCCTCCATTTCTATTGCCACCACCAATAATGTAAGAAGAGTGTGTGGCATGTTAACATGGGGGAGAAATTAAAGGGCCAGACAAGTACAAGGGGGTTTGAAAAAGTTCATAGGAAAATGGAAACCTTGCCCCCCACTAACGTTTTAAAGTTCAGGAAGGTGAGACTAAAATCACAGAAGTCAGGAACACATCTGAAGCCAAATTGTGTGAGTTCAAATCCCAGCCTTACTGCTTACTAGCTATATGTCAGTGGGTACATTATTTTACCTTTATGTGCCTCAACTATGAAATGGGACAGCTAATAGTACACACCTCACAGCAGTGTTGTAGGGATTGAACGAGTTAACAAAGGGAAAACATTTAGAACAGTTAGCACATAGCAAGTGCCAGAAAGAAAAAGTATTAGTTATCTTTATTATGATTTGGAGGGTGTCCACTATTTACATTATATACTTCTGTGTTGTTTGTTTTTAAATAAGCACAGATTACTATTTTTTTTCCAAATTACTATTAGAAAGCAATCAAAAGTAGGTAGGAAAATCACTGTGACAATGTAGTCAAATAAGTTAACCTAGGACCCTTTGTCAACAGTGACTCAGACTCTGATGAGAAGCTGTGCCTTGTCTAATATAGCATAGTGTAGAATAATAACACAGCACACGCCCAAAAGGAGTAAAACTTTTGACCTAGGAGTTATTTTCAAATTAGATACTCTGTCCTCTTCACGTTTCAAGAGGAGACATTAACGCTCTCTTCTTTTGCAGCTTTCCAAGACCTCGTCTGATTTAGGTAAAATGGCTACTATATACCTGGTAGATGTGGATCAGACTCCAGTGTATACCCAGTATTTTGACATCAGTTATATTCCATCGACTGTATTTTTCTTTAATGGACAGCATATGAAAGTGGACTATGGGTAAGTGAGGCCACCCAGGGGTTATTGCAATCTTCAGCATTTCCTTTAAGAAGTTTCAGCAGCTTGCCTGTTTGCAAGTCATAGTGGTCTGTGAGTCTTGACTTAATCATGTTTCCTCAACTGATGCACTCTCTCATATTTCATGCAAAACT